GATATTTATTTGGACCAATGAGAACATTATTCGCATTTCATAATAAACAAAATTTGTTCCTGGTTAACGTTTTATTATTTTATAACACAACTTAACGTTAACCAAGAAAAAATTACTTAAAAAATAATAATAATTTTTAAAATTTACCCTGTATAAGCACATCTATGGCACTCCTTATACTATTAAAAAAACCCGTATGCTTAATAAGCATTGCTTATTCAATAAACTTATCAACAACATGTGGTTTTTGAGGGCCTGATTACAAATTTGATATCCATTTTTTTTTAATAAAATGGCTGATCCAATATAACGAAAATTCGTCGTTCGGCTTTAATGGTTTGGGTAAAATTTAGTATTCAGATATTTATGGGGTCCCTGTTTCAGAATTTGATATCCATTAAAAAAAACAAAATTGCGGATTCAAAATGACGGACATGCGCAGTAGGTACAAGATGGTTGGATCTATGTGGAGTAGTTACATCATATATGCGCAGTAGTTTTCAGATGGATGGATCAAATGATTTGATCCATTGAAAACTACTGCGCCGATACAGGCTGTTTCTTTTAACTTGAAAAAGCTCAATATCTCGAGAAATACGCATTTCACGGAAAAATGTTTTAAATAAAAGTTTAATGTGACTAAATGGGACATTATTTGGTGCTACCCCCTACCCCTCCTTAAGGGTGAAACGGGGGGTAACTTTGGAGAGTCAAATGGGATAATCCTTTTTTTTACATATTTTGGTAGTACATAAAAAAATTAATAACTTTTTAAAACTTTTTTCAATTTATCAACAGATGGCGCTGTAATTCAAAATTTAAGAAAAATGGGGTTCCCTGTAAAATGTATTATTTGAAACGTTTGAAAAACGGCTCTGAAAACAATTTATAACAAATGTTCGAAATGTCGTCCTTCCAGTTCTGTGCAATGCGTATTTCACGAGATATTGAGCTGTCTCAAGTTAAAAGAAACACCTATTATAGGTGTATAATACTAGATGTAACTACTCCACATAGATCCAACCATTTGATTCAAATGCGCAACATTTTCGGCGTAAAAAGTCTTACTTTATTAGTGTGGTCTTGGCACACTTTTTTTTTATTTCCAGTTTAAATTTCTATATAAAAAAATATAAACGAATTTGTATTTCATTCCAAATAATTTTTGTATTCATACTTAGGTACTTTTACCACGAGAGAAACGAAACGAGACGAGAGAAAGGCACTCTCGAGCGAGAAAAGAGTATTCTCGACGAGACGAGAGACCCATTTTCTCTCGCTGCACGAGACGAGACGAGAGAAGGACTTTTCTCGTCTCGTCTCGTCTCGCGGCATCACTATTATTTGGTAATATTTTCAGAAAGTAAGACAAACTTAGCATTAAACTGACAGATAAGTAACCTAAATTATTTGTATTCAAATGTCAAGGTGGGACTTTTAAAAGTCCAGTTGGGTGTGGAGTACTGTGTTGTTGCATTGTACATTAAACAGCTATTGATAGATCAGAATTGAAATATTGAATTTTAATATTAAATTTTTAGTGAGTTTAATTACTAGAGAGTATTAAACAAATTGTATCTCAATTGTTTAAAATTTTATTTCGAACACCGGCGGCAAAACAGCTAGGAACGGCCCTGTTTAAAACGCTATAAATGTATATCTGATATGCATTTATAGTCCCATAATTCATTCTTTTAAAGGAACTTTAACATTATTTACATCGTTAAAATAAATTTCTCCATCTCAGACATAACTAATTTAGCAAGAATCTTCTCCGCCTCAGAGATTAAAAGTTAACTCGTAAAAGAGATCCTTGACCTATCTCTACGACTCATTTATGCAAATTTTAGGGTTTTCCATGAATATACACTTCCTTCTCTCTCTCTCTCTCTCTTTTACAGTCTTCATCTCATTAGCAAACAATTTTAATTCCCCACCACCATGGCGAATTTTCTTCACCTTGACATTCGCTCCCCTAATTTTAACTGGCTTCATCCCCACCACTTAGTTGAGAATCGACGACTAATTAACTCGGTCACTGGAGCACCGCACTTCCGGTTTTAAGTCTTTCCGCACCCACTGCCGATAATTAACATGGCTGGAAATTAACATTGTGTTTTAATAAGGGAAGAGTAGTCCTCGACATCTACCGTAAGATTATTTTTGAGTAGTAAATATTTATGTTTTTTACCTTACAAACTTTGTGTTTTTAAAACACCTTGAAAATGATATCACATTTATTATTAAAAAATGTTTTAAATACAATGTTGGCGCTTTAGAAACGACGATAGAAATATAAAGGGAACAAAAAATGTTTTATGTAACGTTGGAAATTGAAAATAAAATCTCCCGCAATTCAAATTTCGTTAACAATGTTATTCAAAGCAAATAAATGCGACACATTGATTTGAATTTTAATAATTTTTTTAGGCGGAAGCGTTCTGAATGTGCGATAGATTGAAATGACTTTAAATGTTGCGATAAACTTATGTCGCGTACTTTCTTGGGGAAGCGATTAATCAGACACAACACAATACATTCAGTAGGCAAGAAAAGCGCGAGGCAGGCGGTTCTGAAAGGCTTACATATTGAAAATACGTAACCCAGGCGGAATACTGAGCAGAAGCGCGGTGCCGCTGTAAAAGTCCACGGCAAATCCTGAGAGATTGAAGCCGCTACAGAATGAGACACGTATAGCGAAAAACAAATTTAATCACGAAGACATTTCCATCAATCCATCTTATTTTTTTCTTTTCTATCTGCTTCACTCCCCTGATGGCTTTCTTTGCCATTTTCCGTCGTGTGAGCGCGCCAAAGCCCCGCACATCCATCTTGGCGGCGTCCTCCGCCCCCCTCCCCCCGCGCGACGCCATACGAAACACAGTGCAGAAAAATTTACTAAAAGTGCTCCTTTCATTATTTTAAATCCATTAGTGACTAACAAGACTTTGCTTATAATGTTTTCATACGAGTTTAACAATCTCACTGACATTTTTTAAAAGTACAACTAGCTTTTATCTATTTCGAATTTAAAATTTTTGAGTTAAACTTGATTATAATATTATTATTATTATTATATTAGACTAATATTATTGGTATACTGCAGTATTTTAATATGTAAATTAAAAGGAAATGTTAATGACACTTTAAACTATTTATTTATTTTGTAAAATGAAGAAGAATTTTAGTAATGGCAATTTTGAATTAGAATTTATTTGGTAAGCAAATTTAAATTTTACAAACTTAAGAATTACTGATACTTTAAAATTTTAAAATAACTTCAAAAGAAAATATTAAAGTATAGTATATTAAAAAATGTTAAAAGTATAAACTGGAATTTCTGTTAGAATTTCCAACTTGGGAATCTACCGGCGCGCCGTTAAAATCTCAAATTTTTCTGTGTAAATCAAAATTTATCCCTTGAAAATAGACTAACAATCGATATAGAAGCAGTTTTTCACAGTAAAAGAGAAGAGAATGTTTCATGGGCACTGCACGCAAAATTTTTAACGCTTTGTCAGTCGGTGTGTTCATGTATTTGGGAATAATTAATAATTATTAATAACCTTAAATTTGACTTGTGTGTCAAAAGTCGCAGTATATAGACGTTTCCTTATTATGGTTTCCATGGTAACTAAGCGAGCGTTTTGGTTACTTTGTAGTTCGGCGAGCGACAAAGTAAAGAAACGCTTGCTCTTCGGAAAAGTGCAACTTTGCGCTTATTTTTGGAAGCGCAAATTTGTACTTTTTGCTCGGTTGTAGAAAATAGTTATTTATGTCATTAGGTTAAGAAGTAACACTTCTTGGCCGAATGGCATACAACATTTTATCTTCAAAGCACTTTATATAGGTCAATTTAATTCAACATCAAAGCGGCCTAACCTCACTTTTTTAGAATCTCATTTATTTATTAGCTAAAGATTACATTAAATGTACAATAATTATTATTGCTTTTAGAAGCAGTAATAGTTTGACAATACCTAGCTACATGATTTAAGTAGAAATGGATTTTTGCTATTACATTGAATTCAATTAATTGTTTAATAAATAGGTAGGTATCTAATTTCAATTTGTTTGGATTTTTATTTAAAAAATAGGTTGTTTGGAATGTTTAAGCTGTGTTTAACATTTAATTTCACTGAAAACTTGAAGCAAATTAAAACTTAAAGATAATTTAAATCGTAGAAAAAGAATCTTGCGTTTTCTTAGTTGCCTAACCTCACTTTTTGTTTTATTATTCATATTTAATTTTACAATAATTTAATGAAAAATATTAAACATTAACAGTAAAACAAACAAATTAGTGCTTATTATAAATAAATTAAACCAGTTTAGTACGTTAATTTCTTAGAAAAGGATTAATTTGTCAAAACAATAACCCTAGCGAGAAAAAATCAAACTAATTACTTGCCTCATAAAATTTTTTATCGGCCTAGGCCATAACAAGGTATTTCTTTATCGAATGTTGACAACAATAAAGTTTAAATTATAGACCGCGTGGAGATAAAATAATTTTCACATTTGATAATATTTTACAAGAAAGGCACTTTATTTTTTACGATTGTATGACATTTCACAACTGTCAACTAACTTAAAACTAACTTCAGCCCGTGACTAAAAACCTGTTTTTAACTTCAGTCCGTGACTAAAGCGCCATAAAGCCAACGATAATGGGCGTTTTAAAGGTGGGAGTAGAAAAAAATAGTTATAACTATATTATTTTATTATAACTAATAATATAATAATGAATTAATAGGTACAGAAATTAATTTTTTTCAGTATTACAATTAATCCTGTTTTAAATAATAAAATAGGTTTAATGACAAAATTAGGAAAAAAGGAAAATCATTTTGAGCCTAGAACGAGTAGTAGTTGTTGATTTATTACCAATTTAGGTTTAGAAAACTTTCCATAAGTATGTAAATCATCACTAATAATTATTAAAAAGATTTCCATAGTAGTATCCCGAGTGAAAAAAGATAAGCCTTCCGATCGAATACTCAGTCTACCGAGTATTCCAAAAAGTATTCCTCAGTGCCAAAGCGAATATTTCCGAATACTCTTTTTAAATCTCCGAAAGTTTTCCAATGGTAGACTTTAGAATACTGTTTTGAATACTCAGTATTTCAATAGAAGACTATTTGAAATACTCAGTATTCTATAGTGGTAAAATTTCTGGAATACTTAGTATTCCATATGGAGATGAAGGATTATAAAAAAAGACAATTAATTTTAATTAAACTAATTTTTATTATTAACATTTTTTTTTTATAATTTTGTCCATATAATTGATGATATGATACCTTCTGATGATGGGGGCGACGAGTTGGTGCACTGAGGTTGTGCCATGGCCACTGATAAGTCTGCTGATGGGCTCGACTGAGGATGTCCCTCTGATGGGGGAGATTTCCTTGCATAATTGATACCTTCTAATGATGGAGGGTACTGCGACCAGTCGCTGCTTTGAGGTTTATAATAATTCCACTGAGGTTGTGCCATGGCCACTGATGAGCTCGCCTGAGGGTGTACCTCTGATAGGGCAGATTTCATTGCATAACTGATACCTTCTGATGATGGAGGGTACTGCGACGAGTTGGTGCAATGAGGTTGTGCCTGAGGGTGTACCTCTGATAGGGCAGATTTCATTGCATAACTGATACCTTCTGATGATGGAGGGTACTGCGACGAGTTGGTGCAATGAGGTTGTGCCTGAGGGTGTGCCTCTGATAGGGCAGATTTCATTGCATAACTGATACCTTCTGATGATGGAGGGTACTGCGACGAGCTTGCCTGAGGGTGCGCCACTGCAGATTTCATAACATAATTGGGGTGTTCCTTAGGCTTTTTTGAACTTTTTGCTAAAAACCTTTTTGTTGATGTTTTCCCATCCTGTAAAAATTTTTTTAACATATGTTAAAAATAAAAGTGACTCATAAAAAAGTATGAATAACCTTTAAAGAAAATCTTATTCGCCCGCAAAACAAATTTACTATTCGATTGAAATCTCTTGTATTTGTCCAGTTTTTATATTTATCTTGAGTATACTCTGAAAGAAATTTAAAAGTTGGGTTTAAATTTTGTTAGCAATAATAACATACACAATTTACGCATTTCTCTCGGATTGAATTGAATATTTAACCTAAAGTTTGGTATTTAGTTTGTTTTTTAATAAAATTATTGTAATAAAATTTATGCAGCAAAAAGTTTTTAAAGTGTTAAACTAGTAAAACTGTAAATACCTTTAATAGTTTTTAGAATTTGAGGGTTGATCGCGGAACTGGCCCCATCGAATGAGTGCCCAAGAGCACAGGAATTTGCAAGTTTTTTGTCCCCGACCAACTCGCGTAGCAATTTGCGAATCATTTCCCTATAATCTGTTTCGCCGACAGTACCTTCAAATTGCTTTAAATGAAGATGCTCAATCCATACGCCCGAATTGTCGACAAGCTCAACCTAGAATACATTTTTTTTATTATATCATTTAATGATACCAGTGGCGTAACTACAATGGTGCCAGTGGTGCCCGGTTAAAGCGTCAAAAAAACGCTTGAAATAATTTGTGATAATTTAAAAAAAAATGCGAAGCGAACAATTGAGAGTCAATACTACTTAAAAAAAAAATCTGGTAATTTGTCGTTTTGTACGGTGGTACCTATATATTTAATAAAAGTAAAACTTTCCAAAAATAAGTAGATTGGCAATACCAACTTGGTATATACAATTACAATTTTCTCATAAAAAAATACTGAACTAATAACAGTAGGTATATTACTGAATTACTGAAATAATAACAGTATATATATATATATATATATATATATATATATATATATATAGGGTAATTCCAAATTCGATGTACATATTTTAGAAGCGTATTTTTTGGGTCAAAATAAGACTTTTCTTTCCTATAAACATGTGTTCTAAAATGCACCCCCTTCGAGCTAGAGCCATTGTTAAGTTGCACAAAAAATCGATTATTTAAAATGGTGACTAAATTGACGGATCAAATCTTCTAAAAATTTGCATGCCTCTGTTTTTTTAGGCATCCTATTTATTTTTGCTATTAGACATCTGTCAAAACGTGACATCTGTCATATTTTTTTATTGGCCAAAACATCATAATTTTGTTGGCCATGACAAAATTTAAAATTTTGGTCTCTTGCATTTTTTTTGATACAAATAAGTTTATATACAAAAGTGCTCTTTTAGTTCCACCCTTACTTCTTAAGAAGTCCCATAAGCCAACTGAATGGCTTTTGCGGGTTAGGGGTAGGAACGGACCGCGGGCTTAAAGTCCCCTCCGAAGGACTATTACACAATAGGACAAACACAAATAAACAGCCATACCCCTGGGTGGATTCGAACCCACGACCTCCAGCTTGTAGTCAGCAGCACTAACCACTCGTCCACCGTCATACAACTAACCCTTTGCAATAAAATCGTGATCAATGGAAGGGGAGTATTTTCAAAACATCAAAACTTATTGGGCTGCGATTTCTAGATTTAAGTTTGTAATCATTCTTTACACTTAGGGCCGGTTTATCAATCTCTAGTTAAGTTCCAGTTAATCTATCTGACAGTTAAATTCCATATCGATTGTTGTGAGAACAATGGTAACCATGGAAATTATCTACTAGATAACTAACTGCAACTTTAACTAGACATTGATAAACCGGCCCTTAGGCATGCAAATTTTAAGAATAGTTGATCCGTCACTTTAGTCACAATTTTAAATAATCGATTTTTTTGCACCCAACCCAACAATGGCTGTGGCTCGAAGGGGTGCATTTTAGGACACATTTTATAGGAAAGAAAAGTCTTATTTTGACCAAAAAAATACGCTCCTAAAATATGTACATCGAATTTTGAATCACCCTGTATATATGGGTCATTCCACGTTACTCGGGGATTTTTGTCCCGCCCGTCACAATTAAAAATTGTGAGTAAAAACTATACGTTATAAAATTTATTTTAAAATAGTGTTATATTGTGCTTTTAATAATAATATAAAATATTAATTTTATAACTTGTGGTTTTTAATTGTGACGGGCGGGACAAAAATTACCGAGTAACGTGGAATGCCCTATATATATATATATCTATTATATTATTTTCTTTTGGCAGTAGCCTAGACCACACCAAGTCTAGGGGCAGTAGTCCTTAATCGGCAGACAGTTTTTAATAATAATAATTATATAATTATTATTATAAGTTATAAATTTTTTCCCATTGAAAACCTTGACTGCCATGGGGGCCAGGTTTTATATTTATTTTAAGAGCTAAAACTTGGCAGAATTTTTTTTATTTTTTTTGTAACCAATGCCAAAAAAATATTAAGGACCACCCTAATATATATAATATATATACACAAACTTTTTATTTATTTTATCATAGAGAGGGGGAACGGATTTAAGATTTAAAACCAGGGCCCTTTGTTAAATTGTTATGCCACTGAAACCCTGGGTTCGGGATTCTTTTACCTTTGAATATGAAGGGATTTGCCAATGTTCTAGTTCTTTTAATTCTTTGTCTTTCTTCGAGCCTTTCTGAAAAATTATGAACATTTTATTAAAAAAATAGGTTTTGGGTCAAAATGATTTTAACTTACTTTTTGTTTCATTTGATCTCTATAACGCTCGGTTAAATGAGTAAAAAAGTGCTCTTGGAGGAGAATTATTTCTGGTGTAACTAAGAGAAGGAATTGGATAATATAGATTTATTTACAAATTTCTTTAAAAATCTTAATTTAAGCCCACAGGAGATTCGTTAAAATTTTATGCCAATTTTTTTAATTTCACTGTGCTCTAGTAAAATTTGGTTTAAATAATTAAATAAAGTAGATAAAATTCTACGCATATCACACAATTTTATAGTACTAGAGGAAAGGAAATTAGTAGGTTGCATTAGAAGGGTTGAAACGCGGCAATTGCAGACGAGTGTGAAGTTTTTTGTCAGAGCAAAGCGAGGACTGCAATCACATGAGTTGCATTGCTGTTTTTTATTCCATGTAATACACATTATTTTTCACAGTAAAACAGGGACAACTACTTGTTTGCATGTTTGCTTTAACAATAACATTCTTTAAAAAAAATATTTTTATTCAATGCTGCCTAAGTAAAATATTACTCACTTTGTATATTTTCACACATTTTGCACGTTAAATTTTTATTTGATTCGCTTTTTTCCTCTTTTTCGAACGTGTTTTCAGTCTCATCATTATTGTTTTTATAATCCTTAAAAGCTTCGCCCATCTGGTCATCATCATCTTCGAGCAGCTCTGGTTCGATAAATTCATCTATGTGACTGACTTTTTTTGTTTTGGGGATTGGATTGAATTTAATTTTTCTTTGGTGAGCCCTTGGATTGTTTTCCGCAAGGGTTGGGGTTACAACTTCCCCAGTTGTCGATACCCCTAGCGACTCCAAATAAGTTTTGTTATCTAAAATTATGCATTAAAAAATATCGCCGGCATTATTGTTTTAGTTAAAGAATGAGATTATGTTGTCGATAACCCTAGCGACTCCAAATAAGTTTTTTTATCTAAAATTTTGCATTACAAAATATTGCCGGCATTATTATTATTGTTTTGGTTAAATAATGAGGTTATGTTACTTACTGGATTTTCGTAAAATTTTCGCTGCGTAAATTTTTCCGTTTCCATAGTCCACGTCTACAATATCGTTTATTGCAGGATTTTGTTTGGATAAATGAACTCCTTTTACGACGCAAGACTTTTTGGAAACTTTAAAAAACACCAAAAACCACATCATTTTAAATCGTACAAGTTTTAAACGCGTTCTCTCAAAGATAAAGAAGGAATCGTACACAGAACATAAGAATCGTACTTATCAGCGCTGTGAATTTAGAGGTTATTAATCTATGGGCCGGACTAAGAAAATTGACAGATCCGGCTTTTAAGATTTTGTATGTAAAGTTTATATTTTCTTAATTAGTTAAATAAAAAAAACAATTATTTAAACATAAGAATTATTACAATTATTTTTAAACACATACAGAGTTACATTAATTTAAAATTTTACATACATTTAGGCCAGCTGTGGTTTGTAAACAACGTGAAGTTGTAACAAGTCTGGTTAAAGTTAACCTGTTAAAGTGTTTTACTTTATGTGTGTGTTATAATCGCCATAATATAATGGCATCAAAACATCCATTACATTGGGAAGAATACTCAAAACGAAGTAAATTTCGAATTGTTGCCAGAAGAAAAAAACACGAAGAACAAATTGGCGTTGACAACGTACAGGCAAAAAATAATGATTTGAGGTACGTAATACGTACTACGTATCGTCCTTTTACCAACGGAGAAAATGTCACCATTAATTTGTACTCTTTTTCAGTATGTCGACAGAACCAATTGAACAAGTGAATCCGATGAAATCCGGCAAAGATTATGTAGAATCAGGTATTATGATAATTTTTTGTTATTTTTTATTTTAATTTTGGTTTACAGTAAGTGATCAAACAGACGCAAATTATTCCGAGGATGGCGAATGTTTTACGAGTAATGAAAATGATTCAGAGGCAGAAGATGATAGCAATGAACCTATTCAGCAGAATGAGCACAACCTACCAAATGATGAAAACTTTGGAGCACAGAATTTTTTTAACGAGCCAATCAATGATCCTATCCCACCCCCAATGCCACAAGATGACGAGGATCCACCGTTGTATGAAGGCGCTCAAATAACGCTTAGTGAAAGTTTAACGTGTATTTTAACATTCGCACTTAGATTTAGTCTGTCCGGCGTGGCTTTAAGCTCACTTTTGCAATTAATTTTTATTCATTGCCCTCCACAAAACATATGCTGCAAAAGTCTTTATACGCTAAGAAAATATTTTGAAGATATTTCTATTCCTCTGAAAAAACATTTTTATTGTTCAAAATGTAAGCGGGAAATGGACAATGCTGAATCAAAATGTCAAAACTGTACAGGTAATCCCAAAGTAACTTATTTCATTGAAATTTCAATTATAAATCAGTTACAAAAAATGTTTAAACGGCAAGGTTTTTTGGATTTATTACGTTGGCGAAATCAAAGAAGGAAATACAACGAGAACAATTATGAAGACATTTACGACGGTGAAATGTATAAACAATATTCGCAGCCACCCCATTTTTTATCGAATTTAAATAATATTTCTTTTACATGGAATGCCGATGGTATTGCTTTGTTTAAGTCATCAAAATTTGAAATCTGGCCTTTTTATCTTAGTATTAATGAACTGCCTCTTAGTCATCGCACTAGAAAAGAAAACTTAATTTTGGCAGGTCTCTGGTTTGGAAACACAAAACCAGAACCAACCTTTTTTTTAAATAACATTTGCAGTGATATAGAAACATTGAACAATGGTGTTGAATTTGATGTACAAGATGTAGAAAATCCTATAATGGTCCGGGGTAAAGTGTTATGCGGGACTTGTGATCTTCCCGCAAAAGCACTGTTTTTAAATATGAAGCAGTTTAATGCTGAGTACGGATGCCACAAATGCCTTATTCGCACGGAACCAGTAAATGACAACTCATTAGCAAGAATCTATCCTTACGAAGAAATTTTACAAATTAGAAATCAGGTTGACACTGATGGTCACGCGATTGAAGCAACTGTTTTCGGCGAAGCGGTTTTTGGAGTAAAAGGAAAAAGCCTGATTTCGAAAATGACTCCTGATTACATACGTACCACGGTTATTGACTCAATGCACTGTGTTTTTCTGGGTGTGGTAAAAGCTCTTCTTTTATTATGGTTCAACCCACAAACAGGCATGTTTCGAAATTTTTTAGATTTTGTTGATACAAAAATATTGAATGTGAATCCACCCGATTACGTTACACGTTTGCCGAGATCTATTGCGGAACATCTTAAATATTTTAAGGCAAATGAACTTAAGTCGTGGTTTTTTTATTATTCTATCCCAATTATGAGACTTGTCATGCCAGATTTGATTTTTGAACACTATCTGCTTTTAGTACATAGCATATACATTCTCAATAGCTCAAGCGTGTCAGAGGAAATGATAATTATGACTGATAAAATGCTTCACGAGTTTGTTATGCAGTTTCCAGATTTATATAACCCCAACAATAGAACTTGTAATTTACACAGTTTGCTTCACCTACCACAAGTTGTTAGAGATTTTGGACCTCTTTACACAACTTCATGCTTCCCATTTGAAAATGCCAATGGTATTCTGAAGAGTTTGGTAAAAGGAAACACCTCTGCACAACTGCAAATATGTTCTGGAATATCTGCTTTCATGAGTTTACCCCAGTTAAAGAATAAATTAAGAGCAGAAAGTGTGGCTGCCAAGTTTTGTCAGATGATAGAAAAAAACAGCAGATATAAAATGCACCAAATTACGGATAAGTTTGTGCAATTGTGGGTACGTTTGCCAAAAAGGTGCAATCGATAGAGTTTATTGAAGAAACATTACGATTTGCTGAAATAAATGTCACAAATGTAAAAGTATTTTTCAGGCTTTCAAAATCAAATGTACTTTTTACATCAGAATTATATTCCCGACAAAGAAAAATGAATTCAATGTGCGTTACATATAAAAATAATGCCTCCTGTGATTTTGGCTTTGTGAAAGTATCTAATTGTGAATGTAACAAATTTTGCACAGAAAATTGTGATGCCCGCTATTTAGTTATACTTAAAAAGTTGCAAATTACATTGCCTTTTTTTGTAAATATGGAAGAAAAGAAAGTACCGATTTCTTTTGTTAATCGTGCTGTGCAAACTGAAGATGTATGCGTTACTCATGTACGAAATCTCATGTCTGTTTGTTTTTATATCACATTAGGGCCCGAAAATTCAAACTATGTAATTTCACCTGTCAATATGCTAGAATTTGAATAAAGGTTTATTATTTTATAAAAATGACAATTACTTAAACAAACCATTACATTGAGATTGCTAGATTTTGGACATGCATTGCATTTAAAAAAATATTCTGCGATATTTCGATTATTAGTATTTTTAATCGAAACGTTGCAGATTAACCTTTTAAAGACAATGTCCAAGTCCAAAATCTACCAAACTCATCACTCATGTTGTCTTAAAACTTTAAACAAAACATTATGTTATTTATTAACTATTACATTTTGTATATAAATATTTTTATGTGTTAATACTTTATTATAAAAAAAATAAAAAATGATGTAGATTGAAAGTATTTTCTAAGTAAAGTATTCAAACATATTCTATATGGAAACCGAAATCTCCCAAATTTAACAGATTTAATTTTTACAAGTTTTTCTAAGTAAAGTCTCCGGTGGAAAAACTCAGTATTCGAGCGAAAAAATATTTTAAAGGACGGAATACTCGTTTGACCAAAGTATTCGTTTTGAAAACTGCTTTTAAGATATAGGTATACTCCGAATATCGTGGTAGACTGCAACAGGGTTTTTCAGAATATTTCGAATACTAAGGGAGACGATTTGGAATACTTAAAATATCGCCGAATACTGAAATCATTTTCACTCGGGATACTTCTACCTTTAAAACGTATTATGGCGTTTTAGTCACGAGCTGAAGTTAGCAACAGCTAACTTTACTCAAGGGCCGAAGTTAGTTTTAAGTTAGTTGACAGTTGTCAAATGTCACACAATCATTAAAATAAGGTGCCCTTCTTGTGAAATAATAATGAGAAAATTATTTGATTATCTTAATACAAAAATAAAAAAGAATTAAATACCTTTTTGAAAAGTTTATATGCGACTGACCTTTTGATTTAGCCGGCAGTAAACTAGATTTAACTAATAAAGCATTAAAAATGTCGGGTTGAGACTCCACCGTGAAGTACCCATAAAACATTCTCTTCACTTTCACTGTGAAAAACTGCTTCTATTTCAGATTTAAACGGTTGTAATTGTTTCAAGGAATAAATTTCGATTTACACATTTTGACTGGGGCGCCGGTAATACAGATTCCTAAGTTAGAAATACTTACGCTAGTTACTTTATATTTTTATAGATGTCGCTCTATACAAATATTTAATTTAAATCATTTTTAGATAAAAATAAGTATTTGTCGTAAAAATGTATAGTATAATATATTATAGTTTATATTATAAACTTTTCTAGCCACTCATTTCACTCGCAATCTCGCTCGTGCCTAATTCAAATTGCTGACTAAAATGGCGTTTATTAAACTTGATTCATAATATATAAAGTATATTAATGCATTAGCAGGGTAATGTACGGAAAAAACTACTTTCTTTGATTAAACAATAGACAGAAACAACAATTTTAAAAATATATACATTATATGTAATGAAAACTTCATTGTGTAAAACTACCCTCTTAAAATGAATTAGTCAAATTCTACTAAATGAAATAGTCAAATTAGTAGATTTAAATTTTAAAAAAGTTTTGACCCATCCGGGGATTGAACTCAGTTCTGTCGCATGTCAAGCTGTTTTCATAACCCATTCGGCCATCAGCCGCTCTTTTAAAAATTTAAAAAATTTGTCAATAAATATTGTTCATAATATTTTAAAGTTGAATATATTATTTGTGTTGCTGTTTTGATCAGCTCGAGCTAAACTTTTTGCATCTTTATTTGTTTTTATGGGTCATTTAACCATGATTCAAATAATACTTTGTTGTTGGCCGCAAACGATTAAAGAAATTAGTTACTTTTAACTCTCAGAAATAGTCAAAGATGGTGACTAATCAAAAATTAGTCAAACTTTAACTATTTACGTAGTAAAAAATAACTATTTAAAAGTGAAAACGACTATTTTATTACTAATTCAAATAGGTAGTAGAATTTTGACTATTTAATTTTTAGAGAGTATGGAAACCGCTTCCATTTATATAACATAAATAGGCATATCCTTTTTCATGACACATTTTCCTGCACTGTGCGTCGTTTAGGGCTCCTGCTGGGGATCAGGGGATGGGAGAAGATGGGGTGCCGCGCGTGTGGATATTACGGAGCGCTGGGGCGTCACATGTGCTCCCTGGGACTACTGCCATTACTTTAAACCGGCTCAAATGGAGATTCATTTTCTATGCTAAATTTAACATTTTTTCTTTATCCCCGATGCTGCTGCTTATAAGAACTTATAAGAAACAAACTTTTCTTCCACCAAAGATTTATTACAACGTCTAAATTCTAGAACAAAGAAACTGCTTTTAAATAATTAGCTTATTAATTTAGGTTATTTTTATCAATATATATATATGTGAACATAATAATAATATTAATAACTTTATTGATGGTTTGACCAATTTCAATGATGTTTTAGTGCTAAATTTTGTTCATTTTAGTAATGGCTGGATGTGATACATGGGATATAAAACTGTTAAAGCGAAGCAGAAAAATAATAATTTGAGGCAAGGCGGCGAAAACGCGTTAATGTCTTCGGGTAATAATCCCTGAAAAATATATAAATTATGAGCTGGCTGCTCACAAACGTCTTCGTTTGTTTTTATCCAGAACGCGATATTAATTTTGAGAAAAGCTGCAGTAAGGTTATAACTTAAATAATGTGAAATATGATACAGTCGACCGTATCATTTTCTTTACTTTTTCCTTTATTTTTGGCCTTTATGTGAGTGTATTTTATATTAATTTTAAAATAAGCTTCTTGGGGTTTAATATATATATTTAAACAAATTATAACAAAAATTCCATTCCATTTTTTTAAATTAAACATTCGGATAAGTATTAAAAAAAGTTATATTACATATCCAAACATCGTGTTAAAATACATTTCGCTAGAATAACAGTAATTTCTTTCTAAATATGTTCGTTGAATTATCGTAGCTGGTTTTTTTATTTTTATATTGAGGGACATCCATTGATTACGTGAGAAGTATTTCCAAATATAAAAGTCATGGAATATCCCGTCCATACACTGAAAAAATAAGCTGTTGAAACAACAAAAAAAATTTTAATTCAACTCTTTATGCACTTTAAATACAAGCAATGGTTTTTGCACGTTTACTTAACCATCTAAAAATGTCAAATTGTATTGTTTAATTGAACAAATAAACAAAATGAGAATTTTTGTTCTAATCTGCTAATCTGGTTAATTAAACATTCTTGATATGTCGGAGTAATATTTCAAAAATGGTTGTGCTAACATTTTTAAGATGTTAAGGAAAATTTCTTGAAATGCCCAGGTAACCTTTTTAGCATATTCACTTAACACCAATAAAATGTTAAATTAAAATAATTTGCGCTAATGTTGGGTTAATTAAATTATGGAATTAATATAAAGAGAAAGAATTGAACCTTCCCTCTCCAGAATTTTTGTTTTGATTGCGTTCCACCTACTTCAAATACCTACCGACAGACAGCTGATTCGACTTATATTGGGGATCTTATCAGTCACTGATAAACAGTTTCGGGCAATTTGGTGTAGTGGAAGTTCTACTGTGGAACACACCGAAAACAAACGGCTACCTGAGCTTATATACTTCTATCGTAAGCCAACTGAGGCGAGATGTAAGAACATCACGTGATCAACACCGTCTAACGACGAATTTTAAAGTAACATTTACAATTTGTTAAATGAACAAATTTAATGTTTTGGATTTAAAGAGCAACTAAACGTTAATTTAATAGTTTTTTTAGGTAATCCTAAAAATTTCAGTATTTGATTCAACCAATTCCAGCTAATAAATCAAAATAGGATAAACATTTTAATTCAAAAAATTAGTTTATTTTAAATCAATACTTTAACTGCCAAATGAACAAATATATTTATAAACTTTGACAAACTCTGACTATTGCTTTGACACCAAAATATAGATTAATCCAATAGGTTTTTTAATGATACAACACTTTCAAAAATGACATTTAGGCAAACGTTAACTAAACTACATTATTTTTTTCGGTGTAGACATAAAATTAGTTTTTGCAAACATTTTCTTTAGGATTGCCATAATATTATATTCGTTAGGAATGTGGCATGTTGCTCCATATTATTGAAACCATGTCCTGTTGTTGTGGATTTGATAATATTGCATTTTCGGAAAGAAAAATACATGCAACATTGTTGTGATTTCTGAGTTCATGATCCAGGATCCTGTTGCACATATAAGTTTTCATTAACATTGAACGTCCAGTGGCCTCTGATTGAGGGTGGAACCTATAGCCTCAAATTCCTCAAATTTTGTAATCTACGACCTAATCGCACATTCACTAAGACACTCTTTTTTATGTTGAAGGTGAAGGTGGTGTTTTCTTTTTTATTCGATAAGGATGTTTTTTACAATTAAAATAATTTTGCAGTGTGTGCTAATTTAATTTTGATTAAAAACTTCTTGTTGATATGCAAAATAAGTTCTAAATTTCACAAATAATCATTACATCTCACGTGACGTTAGATCCAATCATTTAATTGCATAAATATTTACATGCATATCATGTTTTTCATTTTATTCAAAAATTATAATTATAATAATTAAGAATGCAAAAATTAATAGTTCATAAAGGTAAAGTTTGGGTCAAATAAAAATTAAATCATTACCACGATATTCGACACTTGCGATAAATATCTAAACAGAAATTTAACGTGTGAATAAATAATTTTCCTTTTAACCCATCATAAAAATTTAATTAAAAACTCATTAAGCTTTTGGTTTCCATATATACAGCAATTTTAATTGGTGAGATTCGTTTCAGTTCTGCATAAATTATTTAAAAAAAGGAAAATAATGGGAGTTTAATAATATGCCGCTTTTGCCTTGGGTAATTATTTTTGTTGATTGAAAACCATAAAAAATATTAATGTTTTATAAATATTTAACAAACAGTGTGCAATATTCTACAGCGTAAAATTTGAAATTTTAATAAGAGATATAACAGAGTTTATGTATGTATTAAATTAAATTAGTGGGGTGAAAAATGCGTTCGATGCTGTTTTTTCATTTCTAGGCAAATGTGATGCGGTGCTACGCTACACTGATCCCGGATCCCGTCTTCTTCGGAGATCAAAGGAGGCGGTCGGAGCAAAAAGCAAAGAAGCCGTGTGTGATTATTTGACTACTAAGTCTCATAGAAAGCCTCGGATTAAAATTATTTTATGACATAAAAAGTCAAATCACGGTGTGGAGAAAGAAATTAAAATAACGTTTATTATGAAATTTGGCTATTTCATATTTTTTAAATAGAACCCAAACCAGACAAAGGTTTTGGACGAAAATGGGAAAAAGCAGGAAACAAAACATTTTGAAAAGTATACTTTTAGATGTCATATACCACCAAATTTTTCGAGTACCCAATAAAAGACACAAAATACATAGATGGTATTTCTACAGAATTTCAGAAAAACATTCTGCTGGCTTTAATCACTTCCATTGAAATAGTGTAATAAATGTCTACAAAAAGGTATATTAACAGATAAGCTAAAAAGAGCAGTTGTTTTTCCAATTTATAAAAAGGGAGACCTAAATGAATATATAGGTCTACAGGTATAGCCTGTCTTACCCACTATGTCAAAAATACTAAATAATAAAAAATCGACTTATAGAGTTTCTTGAGAAAAATTTACTGCCAAGCACAAAACAGCATGGATATAGAAAAAATCCACAACAACTGCATTTCTTGAAGTTATTGATACAATCATAAATAGGTGCGCTGCAGACACAACTTATCTGCTGTAACCTAAGTAAAGTATTCGACACTGTTGATCACAAAATACTTTTAGAAAAGCTATACTTTTATGGCATCAGAGGCCTTTCATATAAATTACTACAGACAAAAATCGAACACAAATGTTTAAATGGAAGGACATTGCTAGAACAGAATCCCCAGAAGAAGACATCTGTCAGAAAACTGTCGGAAAACATAAGTGGTTCAACTTAAACTAAAGAAAGAAAAAAGGCAGTACCTTAAATTTTCAAATAAAACAGTAGTTTCATGCACGTCAATAAAATTTATTGGACTATGGGTTGAAAGCAGACTGAACTGGGACAAATAAATAGAAAATATCGCAAACAAACTCAGTTCTGCAATAAATGCATTGATGCAGAAGTTTGAAAATAAGTGGTAGAATTAGATATTTTTTAATTTTCACAGTGAAATCATATGGTATTCTGCTCTGGGGAAGTTTAAGGGACTGCGACGGGATATTCAAACTGCAAAAAATGGTCATAAGAACTGTTGTGCTCTCTTAAGAGTACTGAGAGCCGTAAACAATATTTTATAAGAGAGAGTATACTTATCGTTCATAGTTTGTTTGTTTTGTGTATTTTAAAATACGTTCATTTAAACAAAAATGTATTTTTAATAAATGGAGTTTCTTAACTACAACACAAGAAACAAAACAATTTTAAATTTCATATCATCGAAAACAACATGTTGGGCCACACTCGATTTCTCTGTCCTACCAAATCTAGCATGCTCTTTAAACCTTACTTGGATGGATCGTTTAGTTTGTCCAACATATATTTCTTGTGACTTTTCAATTTTAGGAATCTTATCTTTGGGTTGCCTAAAAGGGTCTGAAGTGTGTTACTGCTTGAACTAAATGCAGTTTTAAAGTCCAGTTTTCGAAAAATCCTTTCCACACCACGGATGTCTGGATGTTTGTATAAATTAGTTTGTTTCTCATTACGTGTTCACTGAAGCGGTTACGGTCCAAGATTTTGTAAACTGTGTCCGTTCACGGTTCAGTCAACGTTAGCTTATAATTAGTAAAAATATGGAAGATTTTGCAGTTAGATTTAGTTATACTTCGCTTTTGAAGATGCCAACATCGTTAGCGAAAAGTACTTTTGTGTTTTGTTTTGGTGTTGGGAAATATTTATAATATTTGTTAAACATATCACCAAAGTTGTCCTTTTTCAAGTATCCATATCAATGGCCAAAAGAAACCTAAAAATATGTTTACCTCAGCAAATAAAACTACATAAATAAATTTGAAAGTAATGTTAAATCAATGCTAGTCAATATGTGCCTGTACAATGTAAAAACAAATTTAAATTGTGATATAACTATGTAGGTTTGTCCATTATACTGTAATTCTATTGTTATTTTTTTATTAAGTAAGTTTGTATATGATTTATATTTTTTCTTTGACATGTCATGTAATTCTCCGTTGATGAGAATAAATATTAATATTATTATTAAAAATATTTAAATACATTTTGCAATGAATGTTGGTGTATGTACCTTTATGAATGCAGATGTGTTGGGAGATATAGCATAGTTATAGTAAAGTAGAAGGCGGTGGTGGAGGCGGCAGGGAGGCAGGCAAAAAGTCGACGAGGGCAAGTTTGGAAGTTGCCGCATGCGAGCGAAGATGTTTCGTTCTAAAAGCAATAAGTCCCCGCTTTCTCCGTAGAGAAAAGAATTAAAACGAAAAGAAATATAAAGCCGCTGGAACGAACAAGTGAGTGTACGGATGGAAATAGGGAAAATGTATGAGGAATTATTCCCAAAACAGGCGGGAACGGGAGCCACTCCCGCTGCTCCTCGCTTTTCCGCGGAGGGGTCCGCAGCGCACACAAATCACCAGAGAAAATATATTATAATAAAATGAGATGTTGTACAGTCCACACAACATGCGCCTGCCTGCTCTTCTACCTGCTTACTGCCGCCGCCACCGACGCCGCCCGCCTGGCAGTGCCGTACCAGGGGCAGGCGTTGGCTAACGACGCCAATTTACTAATAAAAATTGGTAACAAAATTACACTTAAACAATCAATTTTCTTAGTTTCTTTAAAAAACTTTCTTGACCCATTACACTGTTCAAAATTTCATGACCATTTTAACACCAAATTAACACCATACATGGTCTATATCGATACAAACCAAAATGGTGTTAAATATGGTTCGTTGGCCGGTGTAAATTCAAATACTAAAATGGTGTTAATTTAACTTTCACACAGTATTAAAATAAATTTTACCTGGTGTAAATTGAACTCCTTTTCAGTGTTAAATATTAGTGTTTGTGGTCAAATTAAATCATACTACACAGAAAAAAGGAAAAAAAAGGAAACAGGAAGTTCCTTGACGCATTACTAGTATATTACCAGTGGTATTATTCCAGAAAATGGAACCTTCAACTCGCTAGAGATAATGTTTTTAGTGCGTTCCACTAACTTAAAATAATTCAAGTATTGACAGCTGTTTCCACCTATTTAAGGTCTCTTTAGTATCGAACAACTTGTATACACTATAGTGTCACACCAAAGCAAAGGATTACCTGAGTTTATATATTCTTCATGTAAGTCAACAGAGGCGAGATTTAAGAACATCACGTGATCCACACCGCCTTTGCCGCGATCGGTACACGTTTTCAACCATAATTCATTTATATTTATATTAAGACCACTTGGTGTTGGATTTTGACACCATTTTAAGATTACTTTTTACACCACAGATATTTTAAACAGTGTACTGGTAATATAGGTCGAAACAGCTGCCTGTCGGTATTTGATGTTGGTGAAACGCACTCAAAACAAAAAACTTTGGCGAGGTGTAGGTCCATTTTTTTCTTATAAAAATTACACTCATAAAAAGTTTACTGAAAAATATATACCTGCTACCTTTTTACATGTAGTGAAATGTATAAAAAAACACTAATGACAGGAAAAAATTTGGAAAAATAAAATTTTTTAAAAATTTTAATATTTAGTTTTTTATATTTTTGCAGGTAATTATAATTTTAGTAAATTATTTTTAAAACTTGATTTTACTCATATACATAGGTACAAGTTGTTTCATATAGAATATTTATTTTAAATGATATCATTTTTTGTTTTTTATTAATTATTATTAATTTTTTTATTGTTAATTCTTAATTTTTTTTTGTTTAAAGACTTAATAAAATATTAGTTTGATAAAGGCCATTTTAGACAGGAATTTAATTTAGGCACGACATAACTTGCGAGGGAGTGCTTAATTAAATAAGTGTCTAGAAAATTTATAAACGAGTTGCATACTATACTTTTTCTATGACAAATACATAATTAACTAAAAATGATTTAAATTAAATATTTCTATAGAGCGACATAAAACAATAAAGTAACTAACTTGGAAGTCTGCGCGCCGTTAAAAATGTAAAATTTTTATGTGTTAATCGAAATGTATCCCTTGAAAATACACCGTTTAATGCGACATAAAAGCAGTTTTGCAAAGTTAAAGTAAAGAAAATATTTTAAGGGCACTCCACATGGAGTCTCCACCCGAAATTAAGTTAAATCTAGTTTACTTCCATCGAAATTAAAAGGTTAATACAATGTTCATATAATCTTTTTAAATATTGGCGTTGAGAAACTTTCGTATTTTTGTATTGACACGGTGTGCCTGAACGAAGTTTAAGTCACATACAAATGGCTCACCCTGTATATATCAAATTATGTAAACAGTATTAAAAAGTATTCTTTAAGTCTCCTCGATAATATACTCTAATTTATAAAAATCGGTGTACAAATGTGTACTCTGTCAAAGGTAAACTTTAAAACAAACAAAAATTTAAAAAAAAATCCTGAATTTTCAAAAAATTTCGAAAAGAGGTGCAGCTAAGATTTTGGTAAATATCATTTTTAAATCACCAAAGGGTCCCGAACAAGAAACTGCAATCAGTTTTTGGCGGCATTTTTATGTGACTTAAACTTGAGATAATAAAATAATTTTTACATTTATTATTATTTTACAAGAAGGGCACTTTATTTTAACGATTGTTTGACATTTTACAACTGTCAACTAGTTTAAAACTAACTTCACTGACTAAAAACCTGTTGATAATTTCAGCCCGTGACTAAAACGCCATAAAGCCACAACTTGTCAATGTATATTTAAAAGGTCACTTAGTGTCATGGAAACATGTACGATAATGAGCGTTTTAAAGGTAGGACTACTAAACTATTAAACAATTTTAAGCCCATGCACTTGGGAGAATCTCGAGTTATTTTAACTCTAGCATTTCGAATATAAAATGTTTGTGTATTTCTGGTAAATTTCAAAGTCTTTAACACCAACAATGAGATTAATTTTAAGATATTTTTTTTTGTTTTTTCTTTAATTGTGAATTATTA